TAGAAACCCATCTTCTCCCTCTCCTCCCGGCCCCCATCACCTTCACCGAACCTAAACCTCTCCACCTCTGATGCTCTTCACCACCACCATGTCCAACCTTCTAATCCTCACACTCCTCCTCCACCTACTCGTCGCAACAGGGCCCACTCCGACTACCTACCCTTCTCTCTCCCAGAGACCCATTCTCTTCATCGCTTGTTTGGGCCCAATCGGGACTTCTAAACCTCGTCACATAACCCTTCACATCAAATCTGAAACAAACCCACCAACCCATAAACCAAATCACAAAAAATCACAAAAAAAAAAATTGCAAGTAAATGTAAAATAACGAGAGAGAGAGAGATGTCGAAGGTAGCGAAGGAGAGGGAGGTGAGGGGTTGAGTGGCGGCAGTAGGGGCTGAAGGAAGGGAAGGAGTTGGAAGCGGGGCTCTATAAATGGTTCAGACAGAAGGATTTGGGTTCCAGTTCGGTGTCGTCTTCGGCAGTGGGTCTCGGCCAGGGAAGGGGAGATGAAGAGAGTGGAGGAGGGGAAAGGTGGGTCGGGAAGGTGAAGAGGGATGAGTGGTCTGGGAGCTGCGATGGTGATGGGGAAGGGCTGCAGTGATGATGGGAGGAGAGGCAGGTGGGTCAGGAACGGGGGAAGGTTTTTGGGTTTGTTTGCAGGGGTGGGGGGTTGCGCAGAGGTGGGTTTCAATTTGGTTTATTTATTTATTTTAAGGGTAAATTATTATAATATTTTAAATGAATAAAAAAATTTATTATTTTTGTCACGTGACACACATTTGGTAGCCACGTGGCACAATTGTGGCAGTCACGTCAGCTTTTAACAAATCAATGGATGGAAAATGTAATGGAGGTACTATATTGAAATAAAATAGTAGTTAAGGTATGAAAGTCAAATGTTTTGAAGATGTTGCATGCGATTGTAATAGGCCCCAAACCTAAGGGGGTACAATGTAATTTACCCTTAAAAAATGTAATTAAATATTTAAAAAAATTAAAAAAAAAAAACCAAACCCACATTCTTCCTATCCCACCCATCCTCCCTTCACTCCAAAACCCCACTGCCGCCTTTCTTCCTCCATCTCCTCCTCCTCCAACCATCAGAACCAAACCACTCTATCCCACCATCAAAACCAAACTATCTCCTTCCCCATTCATCAACCGTTCAACGACACGGATCCCATCAGACCTCAAACAAAAAATCAAACCCAATCCAAAATCAAATCTCATCATCCCACCCGCAAAACCCTAAAAATCAAATACAAAACCAAAATTTCATCACCTCCAAACCCATCAAGAATCAAATCGCATCCCACCTTCCCAAGCTGTCGTCGTTCTAGGTTGTCAACAGAACAAATCGCGTTCTGGGTCGTTAAGGCCGACGCCGTCTACATCGCCCTGCTCGAACCCGAACTTGGTCTCTTCCACATTGGCCTCTTGCTCTTCCATTCTTTGCTCTGGGTGTGGAGAGTCGAAGAGGACAGAGAAGACTAGAAGAGATGGGGAGAGACCGAGAGAGAAAGGGGGAGAGGTGTGGGGAGCTTAATGGAGAAGGAGATGGAGGAAGAGAGGCAGTGGTGGGTTCTTGAGTGAAGGGAGGAAGGGTGGGTGGGGTTCTGGAGTGAAAGGAGGAAGGGAAAGGGCAGGGGGAGACATGTGGGATAGGAAGAAGGTGGGTTTGGTTTTTTTTTTTTTTATAAATTTTTTAAAGTTAATATTTAATTAATATTTTTAAATATTTAATTAATTTTTTAATAAAAAATGGGTCCCACTTCAAGCCACATCAGCATTTAACGGAAGAATTGACAGATAACTGACGGAAGTTATGAAATTGTAATAAATTTGTAGATGAGGTATGACATTGACATTTTTTTAAAATGGGGTATGAAATTATAATAAATTCTTAGATGAGGTATGACATTGACATTTTTTAAAAACGAATTATGAAACTATGACTAGCCCAATAATTGAGGTAGTTTTGTATAATTTACCCAAACAAATATAAAAATTTAGAGATTAAAATTAAACTATGAATAACGTTCAAGAATCATTGCGACAATTAAACTTTCCTAAACAAATAATATAAACTTATTTTTCACTCCAATAGTAACGACTATTTTGGAGTTTTGAATTGGATGACCTAAAACACCCCAAGTCATAAAAAAGATTGTGATGATCATGAGTGTGTTAAAATTGTTTTGGTAAGTAATAAATTAAAAAAAAAAAAAATACCGTGTTGATATTTTTCTTCTTTTTTTTTTTGGTCGAAAGTCACATCTAAGATATTCGAAATGGTGTGTTTGCACCATTAGCAGTCTGTATACATTCATTTTAACCGTCAACCTGTCACATGCATGCAAAAAACACTAAGATTTTTTTTAGAGATTTTGGATGCGGTCCTTAGTTATGAATATTCTTTAATTGAAATCTTGTTGGTTTTTAATTTTTAATCAAGGTCCTTGAAATTAATGTGATAATTCATTTCTATGTATGTTACTATATTTTTAAATTAAAAATTAGAAATTTTAGTTGTTTATAGAAATGAGATTTTAAATAAAAAAACCATAATTTGTGGGATTAAAAATATTAAAATATAAATATACTATTGTGTGTGTGTGTGTGTGTGTGTAAACATGGGTACATTCATCAAAATTAACCAAAAATTTTATTGTATCAAAACATGGGTATATTCTTCAAAATCACAGAAAAAAAAGAAAGATATTAGGCTTAATAATATTAGTAATTTTTTTCGATTAAACTTGACATGGATACATTTTAAAATCAAAGAAAAAAGAATGTACCCATATAAGTTTAAAAAGGGATTAGAAAAAAATTGAATAGATTATATATATATATATATATAAAGGGTACATTTTACATATAACAAATTGGTATATTTAAGAATGAGTACATTTTAAGATTGAAAAATTTTACATGAATGGGTACATATAATTAGCATTGGTACATTTAGCAAAATAAAAAGTACAAATAAAAAAATATATATGGGTACAAATACAAATAAACTTTAAAAAATATGGGCACAAAAAAAATTAATATATGGGTACAAATTAAAATTGAAAAGAAAATTGATACAAATTAAAAAAGGGTACAAACTAAAACTAAAAATATGAGGTGCCAGAAAGTCCATGAAAAATCCAAATTTTAAGAAAGTTCCACATTCGAGAAAGTCTCTTTAATATTTCTCTTGTTTAGTCTAAATCATTTCTTGTAAATATATTGTTATATTAAAAGAAAAGGCTTACAATTTCATTGCCACCGTGACATGTTGTTTTAATAAAATAATTACATAGGTAAGTTTTTAATACATTATTTTAGGAGTGAGGATCCTCGCAGGATTCTCTTTGTGAGGATCTTAGGGATCCTCAAATCACATTCGGTCATCGTACATCGTGCGATAAAAAATCATTATAAACTTTTTTTTTATTTAAAGTTGAATATAAACAGTACCTGACAAAACTGTCTACACAATTCACGATGAACGAATGTGATTTGAAGATCCACACCATGATCCTTTCTCTTATTTCAGTGGATCAAAATGCATGGAATGATGACGTTGATGTCAGAAAAGAATAATTTAATTTTTTTTTTTTTGGTGAAGAAAGAATAATTCATTTTAGGTCATACCGTATGACTCATACGGATCAAGATTCATTAATTAGAGGGGTTCTTGAAAATTGACAAGTTTGTTAGTAGTACAAAAATGGACATAAACGTCTTCATTGATGGTCCTAGTATAAATGCACACACATATTCAAATGGGTCCTCAAAATAGCAATAATTGCTGGTGCTGTTGATTATATACATATAAAATTATAAATTATTGTAAATACGAATTTGACCTTCTCTATCAATCCGTTGTTTTCAAAGAGACCCCCCAATTATCAGCCCAAAACAACCCAAACCTAGCGCCAACATTGACCCACTCTTCAATAACCCACTCTTCAATAATTCCATCCGATGTAAGGTTGGTGCTTTTTAAAAAAAATTGTTTATGTTGTACTTTAAAAATAATTAGTTGTAAAGCAAAGTAGAACAACATTTGGTTAATTGTATGTTAAAAGTGTTGTGAGTTTAAAAAGTAATATAAAAGCGTTTGGTAAATTTAATGTAAAAGTGTTATAATTATATACAATGATAATAGTGGCGGTTGCGATTATGATGGTGGCGATGGTGGTTGCGGTTATGGTGGTGGTGGTGGTGACAATGGTGGTAGTGGCGGTTGTTGTTGTGGTCACAGTAGTGGAGGTTGTGGTCATGGTGGTGACAGTGGCACAATGGTGCTCGAGGTGGTAGCCGTCACTTTATTCTCTAAAAGAAAAAACGTGTGTGAAAGGGTAAATTAATGAAAGTATTATAACAATTGAAAATATTTATTAAAGGCTCAACTTAGTTTTTTATTAAAGCAGCTTTTAAAAGCAACTTATAGATAGCTTTTAAAAGTTGTTGTCTGGGAGGCTATTGCTTTTAAAATAAATAGAATATTTTACTTTTACCAAACATTTTTTTTGTTAAAAAAAATAAACTTTAAAGTGAAGCACTTTTTGGCAAAAATAAAATTACCAAACGGGGCCTAAGTATATTCAATATATGTAAGTGGTGGATTGTCTAGGTGATTAAATACAAATATGGCTTATATTAAAAATAGTGTTGGAAATATTACTTATTATGTGACTATTCACTTTCTGGATCAATATGTAATATGTAATTAGTTAAGACATTTCCTATGTACACTAGTACAAAAAACACTTTGCGCGACGCAGGTCCTTCGTCGCGCAAAGTCAAAAAACGTCGCGCAAAACTTTGCACAACGGACCTTCGTCATGCGTTAACCGTCGCGCCAAGGCAGTGACGGAAGGGTTTGCGCGACGAAGAAGATACCTACGTCGCGCAAAGTGGATTAGATCACTTTTTGGTTTTGGTCAAATTTTTTTTTTAATTTTTAATAATATTGTAATTAAATTTTAAACGATAATTAATTAACCAAATAAAAGTATTTAATTATAAATATATGAAAATGTACATACAAGATGTCCGAACAAAAAAAAAATTACAATGAGTCTTCTATGAAGTGGCTTGGAGGTCGAAGGTGGAGCAAAATCAGGTACTGGTAGCGAGATTTGGATGCCGATCATCTGTATGGTTCTTACAAGGTCTCTCACGTGCCCAACACAAGCCTTCAGCTCCTCGCCCTGGGCCATCATTTGTTGGCCCTGGACCGCAAGCTAACCCTTTAGGGTTGTCACTTCCTCCTTCAATGCATCGACCTCTGCGGTGTTCGACCTGGAGCAGTAGATGCTGATAATGCGGGAAGCTCATTGGTTACACTCCGACGACGAATGATCAACTGCGACATCTATACACTTTTTGAACCATAAAATTATAACATTAGAAACTAATCATTTCTTGCATTTAAAACTAATCAATTAGCAGCCAAAGTAATAAGTAGGTTACCAACATTCTTAATTTCAAAACAAGAGGAACTACCTATCCATTTTCATAGCCAACAAAAAAAAGTGCATCAAGTGAAAGAAAAAAGAATGGGTAATCCGACACTATTTTATAAACAGTAAGCTCTATTTTATTTAAAAAACCTATAGGGCGTGTTCGCTTGGGTTGGTTCTAGTTCAAGCCCTCATTTTAACAAGGTCAAAATAAGGAGACTAGGTGAGGCACTAGTCCCATTTAGTGAGATTGCTAAATAGCACCTTGTTTGATACAGCTTAGACTAACTGATAATAGCTCAATTCGGCAAACAAATGATGTGTAGCAAACATAGCCATAAAGTCCAAGCGAAGCAAATAGCCGAAAATCGTTCTTCTTCTAGAATCTCTCACGTTCATTGGGCATAACCACATTGTACACACACACACACACACATATATAATATATATCCCAATATGTATGCTTTATGAAGGCAATTTAAGGTCCCATGTAGGTCAATTCAATTAGGCAAATATGGAGTGTTCGTGTTCCAAACAAATTTGGGCATTCCAAATTGCAGTGGCAAACATTTTGCAATCCATCATCCAACCAACTAATCTTCCAATTATTTGCATATACATACATATATATACACACACATATATATGCTTGGAATATGTATTTAATTATTGCAGAGAAGCAAAACGGAGAAACGAGAAAATTAAAGGGAAAAGGAAAAGGGGAGAAGAGAAAGAGAACTGAGCAATCTTTCTTCTTCCCCTGAAAAATTAACAAAGGTTTCAGAATGGTGCTGATAATGATTTCTACAGCTTGCAACTAGTGAACGATTGTGGCTGAATGTATATAGAGAGTGTTCTCTTAAAAACAATTCTAAGAAATCAATTTCCACATCTTTCAATCAGTGCGAGCATATAGGAAATGGAAAAGACATATAATTTGTTTATACAGAGTTGACATCGGGAGGGCCACATTTTCGGCCTACCACTCCTCCGAATATTTGTGTAAAACGTGTAAGTTCAGGACATGCAGAGCATCAAGAAAGCATTCAACTCAACATCATTTCAAAGACAAACTTATCAGTAAGAAATTTAACAAAAGAATAGAAAACAAAAGGCGAAAGCATAAATCTTTTCTCGCTAAAGAGAAGCAAAAGGCTTAAAGCATGCCACACAAAATGCTGAAAGAATACCTTTTCAGCTTATATAATATTTGCTTAATGGAATATAGGATTTCAAGCTCAACCACCAAGTTCTTGATGAGAAATACGTACAAAAAGAAACTGTGCAAAGGTCTAATTAAACCAATGTCATAACAATGAAACGAAAAGTTTCACATGCCGAAACTGAAACACACACACAACACTGCTACAACTTAGAAATTAAAATGCCAATTATCTAAAGCTAGTCAATTCTACTTCACATGGCATTGGACAATAACACAGATTTTTCCGACTAATGACAAGTCCGCTTCTAAATGTAATTGGTTTTCTCAAATCATCTTAAACACAGAATACTGAATGTACAATTACAGGGGATTGTCGTACCTATGGACTCCTGCAGATGGGTAAGAATGACTTGCAGCAGAACGAGCTCTTTCAAAGGCCAAATGAGGTGAATGCAGCTGCCCTAGAGCTTCAGGCCCCCTATGTTGAAATAAAAATCAATAAGTTTTTAATATATAACGAAACCCAAATGCGCAATGGCTATTCAATGACAGGTGTTTATGCATAACTCAGGCACATTCATGCATCAATAATATATCACAACACTATATTCTTCTCTGATGTGTCATAAATTAAACATGTGCCACAAGAATGTGATCGCATTGAGACAGATACACACAGAAAAAAAAAACATAAAACACTAAGTGAAACACATAATAATGAATTTATATGTTTAATTTACAAGGGTTGTCCTTACCCATGGACTCCTGCAGAAGGGTAAGGTTGACTCGCAGCAGAACGAACTCTTCCAAAGCCTAAAGGAAGAGAATACAGCTGCCCTGGAGCTTCAGGCCCCCTATGTTCAAATAAACCAATAAGTTTTTACCAAAGCCAAATGCTCAATGACCATTCAATCACAGGTTTTTATGCGGGACTCAGCACACTCATACATCAATGATATATCACAACACCATATTTTTCTATGACATGTACATTAAACATACACCAAATAATTTTGTGATCGCATTGGGACTAATAACAAAGACAGAAATCATATAACACCAATTGAAACACTTTTAAGGAATTTAAAAGTTTACAGTTCTTGCTGTTGTCATTACCTTCGACAAAACATTTACAAAGCTTGTTTATTTCTTAAGAAAAATAAAGGTACGGTAGTTAAGCTTGGCAAGTCAGATTAACAATGCACATAGGATCCCCCCCACCCCCCCCGGGGGAAGCCAGTGCTTAATTTCATGGTGAAGTTTGACATAAGTGCATCAAAGTCACTCCTAAGCCATAGATTATCCTAGTAAAATACATGAGCTTAACGCTTAATTGAGCAGAACGAGTAGCACTTAACGTAAGATAAATCAATTTTCTTCCAATATTAATTCATTCTGGAAATCGAAGTTGGCTTCCAAAATTTTCTCACCAACCAAACAGAAAGAGATGGAAAAAGAAAATCTGTGAAATTCTCGCCAATGGAGCTCAACAGATCAACAAAATTGCAAAAACTTTAAACAATCAACTCGAATCACTTCACCGAAAAAGCAATTTGACAAAAACCCAACATGCAATTTGAGCCTAAACCCTAAATAACAAAAACCCATCGAAGATCAGAAACTCTCACCTTGATTTTGGGACTTGATTCGCGTCGGCTTCGAGATTCGCATGGCTGCCAGTCGTTTAGAACGAGAGGGAGAGAGACAACCAACAGAGTAGTGGTGGTGGTTGGATTCGAGATTGTGAAGAGGAAAGCTTGCGAACGAGAGGGAGATAGATGTCCACGGGAAAGAGAGAAGGAGAGATGAGCGAGAGGGAAGAGAGAGGTCTATACGGCAAAGAGGGAAGAGAGAGATCTATTATACGGGAAAGAGGGAAAGCGGAGAGAGATGTCTACGGGCCGGGAAAGAGGTCCAAACTTTGGAAAATTGAAAAAAACCGCCTATTTTTCTCCTTGACCCTATATGAATACAATGAACTAATTCGATCTTCAATTTAAAATATTACACTAGTGGACACCACAAAATCTTATGTTATACTTGATGAAAATATAAATAAACTCCAAGTGTTAGTGAATGTATCGTTTTAATGAGATACGCATTGTACGAAACTAGTTTCAACGATCCAACTGTCAAACGTGTTTGTATATGCTTTGAGATCGCGTACGCCAAAAATCGCAAAAAACAAACATTCAGAGATCAAGTAACGGGACAAAACTTTTCGACGATTATAAATGAAAAAGCACGATTTAACGGTAGTTTTAACTCCGATTTTGATGATTTTTGAGAGCTACACTCTTTAACCCTATATGAATACAATGAACTAATTTGATCGTCAATTTAAAACATTTACACAAGTAGATACCACAATAGAAAAAGGCAATGCAAGAACCCCAAAAGAAGAGGGAAAAAAAAAAAAAAAACTTTGCGCGACGTAGGTACACCTACGTCGTGCAAAGCTGTTTTGCGCGACGCAGGTGTACCTATGTCGCACAAAGTTTTTTTTTTTTTTTTCCCTCTTCTTAGCTTTTGTTTCCCTAAACCTATCAAAATCCTTCATACTCCTAGTCATTCATTCTACTCGTTCAATTGTTCAAAACCAAAACTCAACTTGTTAAAAATAAGCTAGCATTGACAAAGATAATTAAAGAAAAACAAAAATACATAAAAATAAAAAAATCCAAACATAAATGTAATTAATAAATCAAATAAATACAATACTTGAAGGTGAAGGTTGAGAGAGGTAGAGAGTCTGAAAGAGAGTGAAGGAGAGAGGTTGAGTGTGAAGAAAAAGGCCCCTATGTGTGGTTATTTAAGAAAAAAAAGTCGTTGACTTTGCGCGACGCCACCCACGTCGCGCAAAGTATCTTTGCGCGACGTTTTGTGTTTAGCGTCGCGCAAAGATACTTTGCGCGACGAAATTTGCTGCGTCGCGCAAACATGTTTTTGTACTAGTGGTAAATCCTAAGCCTATAAATAGGCACTCTAATGAGAAGGAAGATACTTGGATTTTCTCCTCCCAATCACTTTTTCGTTTCTTTCTTTTCCTCTTTCTTTATACTTTATTTCCAACAAGTTATCAGCACGACTGTTTCTATACTTTATTTATCGTTATATGTTAAGAGAGAATCATATACCACGATGATATACACAACTCGGATGGTGTAACAATCCATTTGTAAATTACCAAGTGTGTGATGTGGATTTCGCTCATGCTATTATTTGTTCTCTTTGTGCACGAAAGCCTCCATATTTTTCATCCTACACGCACTACTACAATATAGGGTATCACTGGCGAAGCAAAAGCCGATGAGAAATCCAATTTCTGTTGGAAAATTGGCAAAAATCCGACATAAAACAATGCAATGTTGGATTGGAATAGTGACACCAATGCTAGAGTCACGAAAGGGCTTCAATATCGGTTTGTTCGCTTAATCCGCCACTATGCAGCGTCGGTTAAAAACAACACTAAAATTGACGTCTGTTTAAAGTGACGTATACTTCAACGTTACGTCGGTTTAAAGCGATGTGCATTACCAACTTAATTATAAAATATCCAACATACTGTCGGTTTGGTGATAAATTAAACAAATAAAATATCCTTCAACTGACATCAGACAACAATTAAATAAATAAAATATACAAACTAGTAACGGTTTTAACCGACACCACCTTTGTTATTTATAATAAAATAATGCGAAAATCTACATTCGTTTTCAATTAATTGCAACTAAAAAAAATATTACAAGCAAGAAAAACTTACTGTTGTGAAGAAGGAACGAATGAAGTTGGAAGAACAAATAAGAAAGGTGCAGGAGAGAAAACACGGGGAGGGTTTGTAAATTGGAAGAATGAATAAGAAAAATGCAAGAGAGGAAGAAGAAAACATGGGGTAGAGTATATAAAGACCATCAATTTGTAGCTTACAACCGACACCAGGTTTCAAAATATTTTAAAAAATAAAATCTATGTCGCTCAAAACAAACGACGGCTTTAAAATATTTAAAACTAAAATCTATGTCGCTCAGAATCGACGTTGACTTTAAAATATTAAAAAACTAAAATCTATGTCGCTCAGAACCGAAGCAGGCTTTAAAATATTTAAAAACAATAATTAGTGTTGGCTAAAAGCGACACGCATACTTTATGTCGTTTAAAAGCGACACTGTTTCACTTAAAGTGACACCAGTATTTAAAAATTATTAAAATGTATGTCGGTTATAAGCGACATTAAATGTTTATGTCAGTTTAAAAGCGATGTTATGTTCAGTAGGTGTCGCAACTATCTTATCCGCCACTATATTATATTAAACCGATACCACGCACTGACACTATAAGACCCTTTTGTAGTAGTGACGATATTAAGCTGCAATATGATAAATCTGTTGATGAATTACAACATGTGTTGATCAATCATGGTATGATATTGATTCATACGGTTCCTACCAAGAGTCATCAATCATTCATTGAAATATTTATGTTTATTATTTTTCTTTTGAGCTAGAGTCATCACGGGGTTTAGAGTTTCTTATACTCAACCATTGAACTTCATCATGCTCTAAGTTGTTTATTCTTCTTGCATACAAATATTATATGTAATAGAATTGAATCGAGCATTGAATTTATTTTGGCATGTATAGTCCGATTCAATTCATTATTTTTCAGTTTTGTTTATTTCTGCATCTCTTATCACTTTTGATCTTGCAGCTAGTATCTTTGCTGTGTTTGCATTCAATCATACATTATATATATATATATATATATATATATATGTATGCGCATTAAAGGTCCACATGAAAAAGATCGATTGTTCCTCTTTATGCAGTGTTTCAGTTTCAATTTATATGTGGAGTTAATCTCATATGTTTTTTTTTGTGGCAAGCCACGGTTATCCATCAATTTCAGAAGTCTGAAAGACTCACAGAGGCATTTCAGCTTCCTCTTGACCACAGTCAATTAGACTCACCAGCTTGGAGTCTCGAATCCAAAACCTTCCGGTTATTTGTATTTTGAGAGCCGGAAATCACACCCTTACCACTGGGCTATTTTGCTGTGATTGAGTTAATCTCATATGTTGGCTATGCATACCCAAGCAACTGTTTCTCCTTTATTTTCCTAATGTTCTCGTACATACATAAAGAGACTGCTTATTTCATTTATGCTTTTGATTTGATGTCTACCATTTATTTTCATTGGCTATAGTGTGTGTGCGCGCGCGCATTAAAGGTCCACATGAAAAAGATCGGTTGTTCCTCTTTATGCATAGTGTTTCAGTTTCAATTTATATGTGGAGTTATTCTCATATGTTTTTTTTTTTTTTGTGGTAAGGCACGGTTATACACCAATTTCGGAGGTCTGAAAGACTCACAGAGGCATTTCAACTTCCTCTTAGCCACAGTCAAGCAGACTCATCAGCTTGGAATCTCAAACCCGTAACCTTCCGGTTATTTGTATTTTGAGAGCCGGAAACCGCATCCTTACCACTGGGCTATTTTGCTGTGATTGAGTTAATCTCATATGTTTGGCTATGCATACCCAAGCAACTGTTTCTCCTTTATTTTCCTAATGTTCTCGTACATACATAAAGAGACTGCTTATTTCTTTTATGCTTTTGATTTGATGTCTACCATTTATTTTCGTTGGCTATAATATTTTTGTTCACTCCACGGAATTGAATCCATTGGCATGAAAGAAAATAAATTACTTTTATTGTTATTTAGAGTACAATTAATTTCTCAATAACATAAAATAAAATAAAAAAACATATGACTTTCTCTATTTCCTAACTCCAAATGAGCATTACGAATTTATAATTTATCATGCCACTGAATTATATTGTGATGATGACGACATGCAGTCTCTCTAACTCTCATTATATTGCGAGACCTCAACACGTTAATTTTTCATTCCCGTTCAATATGAGTGGGACTGTGGGAGGCATGTAGCCCCATAATATAAATATAAAGTTCATATTCATACAATTGGGAGCCTATAGCTCATTGCGTCTACAACAAATGGGTATATGCATATGTCGGATTCAATAGATTCAAACTACCTTAAGTATTTTTCTCTGACATTCATAAGAAATTATTTTGCACTTTACTAGGAATAACATTGCACATCCTAGATGACAAATCATCAAGTCATAACCTAAACTTTCTTGATCGAATCAAAATTTAGTGATTTTTTATTCTAAATAATTGAGGGCCTGAAATTCCTCGATTTTAATTGCATAGACAACCCAAACTATTTTGATGGATGTATCTAGGCATTGAGCATTGCTTGTTGTTGGGGGATTTTTGGTTGAACTAGACTTGGGCTTTGGCGAACACCCTTTGCCTCTCCTGGTCTGTTTGAATACCAAGTCCCGAGATACCTCGAAAGAATTAGCGTGTCTTAGTAAGTATCTTGGTTAAATTATTTGGCTTGGAGATAGCATGATTAAACAAATAATCACTTGCATAAGCAAAGCATAGCATGGAAGCTAGAAGCTTGTCGGTTTAACGTGAGAGAGAATTTTGCATGATTGGATGATGTTTAGAGTGGCGTAGTTTGGATTTCCTAGGGTTACAAGGTAGCTTCTATTGACTAAGGAAGATCAAAGAAAGCTTGGAGGAACTACTAAGATTGTAGGAAGATTAGTATTTCTAGGTTCATGGTAGCTTGCAGAGAGTGATTTCTCTCTAACGTTATGTTGTCCCTTTTGCATGGAGTTAAACCTCCATGTTCATAGGTGAAGGGTTCTCTTTTTAGGCTTCATAGGGAATACCTAGGCTTCTCCCATATCTTTTTCCTAAGAACAATACTTGACTACTCATAGATGAGTAGGAATTCCTACTCAAAACTCTTAGTGTTTTAATTACAGAACT